TAGATGCCTCCTTAGAAGGGCTAATTAAGATCTGCTAAGACAAAGAGAAAGCCCTTCTCCACAGGACTTGTACGTTAATGAAAAGGAATGAAAGATGTGGGGTGAAAGCTTAGAAGTCCTGCTCGTGTCAACTTGCTGCAAACAACTGACAAGTGGAGATGGTTTTCAGGAAGGGAAGCATTTCAGCAGGGTTAGCACAGGCAGTTTTTCTGATTATTTCAGTAACCATTCCCTTGGTTATCATTTGTGATAACTATAATAGCCAATTTAGTCTGTGGATAGACAGGATATGTGCATGTATTATCAAAACACCACTGTCTTCCTGAGATGCAAGATATTCATTTCCTATACATTCATCACTTATTTTCTATATTAGTGTTTCTCAACCTCGGCAGCTTGAAGTCCACACATCTTCAAGTTGCTACGGTTGGGAAACACTGTTCTATATAGTGGGAAAGGAAGCCATCTGGTGATATAAAAGAGATGCAGTTTGTACCAAAAGGAAAATAAATACATGTAAGGTCTGTCTGTCTGCCTCTGTCTGTCTGTCTCTGTCATAAGCTTCCCTCACTTTCTTTTAGGATTATATTGCCTGAAAACCTTGCATAAAGTAAGATACTGAACCAGCAGGAAAAAAGAGGGTTTGGGGGTATGGTGCCCAATTTTGTAATCCAACTGCTTTAACAAATGTGTTCATAAATTGTTGAAGCCTTCTTTTTATGCACTGCATTACTCAAAGACATTTTCCTCCTTGTTTCGTTTTCTATGAACAGGGGAGTCATTATCTCCATCTTTTCGATGGGCAGGGATTCTGTCTGATGCCAGACAAAGAGGTAGAAAAATCACAGTACTACAAGTGTTATTTGCATTCTTTGCTATATTGCACCCAGTAGATGGAAGCTCATCGTAGACCTGAGGATCCTGCACCAGCTTCAGCGCAACATAATACGTCCAAGTTTGCTTCTAGTGTTAGAGAGGCCCTTTTCCTTTTAATTTTGGGTAAGAGGGTTGGACAAACGTTGATGCTTCTTTTGACCCCACAGTAACAGGAGTAGCTAATGCAGGTATGGAAGTAAGTGGGAAACAGGATGCACAACTATTACAACAGCACAACGCAATGGCAAATGCGTGAATGAGGGCAGAAAGAAGTCTTGGCATGTTTCTAGACTTGGGTGCAAATTATGCTGAGACAAATGATTAATCACATAATAGTGAATTCGTGTAAATCAAATTCACATAGTGAGGGAAGCCGGTCTCTATCAACTCCCAAATGCAACCCACACATGCACCCTACCCCCAGACATGCAGCACCTTTACATTCTCCTTAAGAAGGCTCCAGAGGTTCAAAGATGTATTTTTTAAAAAAAATCAAATATTTCTTGGGCTTCCTTGAGCAAGTTACTTAAGGAGTTTGGTTTGGGGTCTCTGGCAAGGTTACTTGAGCGTGTTCAGCCACAGAAGAATATGAACGCTTACTTCAGTCGATGGAGGTCTGCGTGCGATGCATAAAGGCCACGATCAAATCTTTCCCGTAGAACAGACCACTTTGTTGCACAATATTCCTGAGAAAAAACATTATGGAAATAAATATACATGCATATTATTTATATAAATGCACATACAGGATGTCCCAGAAGTAATAGGGCAGTCACCCAAAACTGATCAGTTGCCACAATAGTTATTCTTGTTGCTGTTTTTATTATCATTATTATCTCCTACATATACATAGTTGTTATCTTTAATAAAAAAAAAATTGATTTACTGCCAAATTTTAGTGTTACTTCTGGTATACCCTATATAATAAAGAGTATTTTGAAATCCATATTACAATATGAGGGATTTACCAACTAAAATTCTGATATTACAGAATGTGTTAATTTGGGGATTCTATTGTGTGATGTGCTTATACATGATTTCCAACTCGAACTGTGGAAAATCAGGCTAGATTTCCTTATAGCATTGAATTAATTCTTCATTTCTCAGCCAAACCTAAAAACTAAGATTGTTGCACAGGTACAGTGGAGAGGTGGGAAATATACTATATGGATGGGGAAATGAAAACTGGTGTTAACTATCATTTCTATAACAATTTAACATGAACTTCATAAACTTCACTGCCTGTGTAATTTTTGCAGCTACTTTCAAATCCAGCAGGATGTGTTAAGTAAGGACAGTAACAGAAGAAAGCTGAAAAAAATGTGCCTACAGAAGGAATGGATAGAGAGGCAGTATTGCAAAATGGGGGGAAAAAAATACAACAACCAGGGTTTTTTCATGTGCTTTCACATCCCAATTTTACAGACAGATAACCAAGGCCAGGAACCCTCAGCTAAGTTCAAAAAGCTAGAATTTTTAAGCTGTGCTTTGTTGAACAAACTAAATTGAACAATTTCACACACAAACTTAAGTCAAAATGGGTAAATTTGCACATCATGCTAAGCTAGGGATAACCATCACAACTGGTGACACACCTGGTGGGTTTAAAGAAGGGAAGGGTAACTATTTGCCTCCCAGAAGCCACTGACTTTCATCTCTTATCTTTAAAACCCTCCAAAAAAGGGGTTGAAACATTTCAACTATCCAACAGAAAAGAATCTATGTAGCTCAGGGTTGAACTGTGGAGTCCATTTCACCCTTACCGACACCAGCATCGCAAGCGGCTATATATAAACAGGGAGCAAACCCCACATTCACTTGCCCTGATGACGTTACCTAGTTGGGTAATGAAACGTCTGCAAGCAAACACCAAGCTCTGAGAGCACCAAGGATTCCACTATTGCAGATTTATCAACAGATGGTCTCCGCTGGCCTCCAGGTCAGAAGACTGGGTTGTCCACCCTCTTCTCTGCCAAACACAAACCAACCATGTTATGGCTTGGTGTTATACATGATGCAGACTTTGGAAACCTAGGATTAAACCAGACTTTGTATACAGGCCACCTAAATCCAAGGCCAAAATACTTCTCCATCAACCACACATTTCTGGATATGTCTCCAAGGCAACTTTGCTAGACCATAACACTTATTATTTTGATATTTCAACTCTGACCCGCTTCGGGATGGTAAAGCTGAAATTGTACGCAGCGTGCTGTGTCAGTGTTAATTCCCTCTCACCTTTGTGAGGAAGGTGAAACAGAGAGAAAAATGGCTGGCTCAAGTTCATAAGACAAGCCTTGTGGATTGCGGAGATGAAGTGGGAGGGGTGCGCTCTTACTTTTGCAGCTTTGAGGAATTGAGCGGCGTTGTAGTCTCCCCCCATCCTTAAGACGTCCTCAGTACAGTAATAGAACTCCGAGAACCCATAGAATTCACTGTTCTCAAAATGGATGGGCGGCTGATAAACGCCGTTCAAGGATGTTTGCGTTTCGTTGGTCTTGTTCATGAAAGACTGAATGACATCTCGGCACACGTGGAAATCTCCCGTCCCTCGAAGATACAGAGTCTGCCCGTTCTGTTGGATTTCATCCTCGGCGTCTAAAGGTAGGCAAGGGTCTAAGTAGGGAATCTCAGGGGTCACACCAGTCTGTTTACCAAGAAGCCTGCAAGCAAGTTTGATCAGAGGACACCAAAGGACAATCACTGGAACAGCCAAAGGGAACGGTATCGCCATCAGAAATATGGAGCCTGATTCTTCTGTCCTGAGAAAAATATTCTTTTTTGGGAGTGGGGATGAGGGATCATAATCATCTAGCCCAAATCACTGCAGTTCAGCTGTAGTTATATTTGGGAAAGCACCACGCCATGGATTATTTCAACCCTCTTGTTTGAACAAGCCATGCTGGTTTGACTCAGTCATAACTCTAAGCCACAAAGAATCATCTGTAAATGGGCTGGTAGCTACACTACAGCTACACTACTCCAAACCAAGCAACCCGCATTATGGCAGGAGACCCAAAGGTGAGGCTCTGATCCCACCCACTATCCAATTTCCAGCTGTTTTTTTTTTCCCAACTGAACTATAGCCTTTCATTTAAAAAACCTTCCAGCCCCCAATTTAGTTCTTTCTTTTTGGTATCCAGCAAAGAGTTTTATTTTATTTTTCCTGGTCATTTACTTAATTAGAATGAAGATGACCATGTTAGGTTTGATGCAATTTTTTACTCTATTTTACACCTTACTGTTACAATGTCATTGTCATTGTATGACAGTTTT